ATATATATATATATATATGAATATAATTAAAATTTGAAAAGCGCAAACCTGGAGCAAATAGTTCATTTAAATTTCGAACTAGTTTTAATTCAATGACCTACTGAATTGAACTAACTAGTTCGTAGACTTCCTAACTGTACTGACTAGGCGAATTAAATTCGCATTGATTGCTGACATTAATGTTTTTATAGTGTTGCTAATGCGAAATTGGCAAAGTTGCAATTGTGACTAAAAAATAAAATTTTACAAAAAAGTATTCTGCACTCTAGGTAAGGTATTTAATGTGTTTAGGCCTTCAGCCTAAATAGTTTTTCGTACTTTTGGTGAGCCGACCTAATGCTGGCATATGTACATACATGTATATACACTCATACATGCTCGTATATATTAACAACAGCTAAGCCGTTAACTAATGTATCCCGCCGGACAATGAACCTTCGTTAAGTTTCCCCTTAACGTCAGTTATTGTCCGGCGGTCCAAACTTAGAAACCGCAAATTATATTTTTCACTTCTGTTTGGAGATCGACGAGGACACAACGCAGCTACCAGGCCACTTCGTAAAGGTATTCAAAAACGCATTTGTATATGCACACATAGATATATATATATCACTGTCGACAATAGTTCATTAAAATAAACGGTGCAAAATACTAAATCAATTCTTTCATTTTTTTCCATTTTTTCTCCATATCATAAAACACTGGTGCGTCCATTCGCGAGCCTTGCGACGCCCGGGGGTTTACATTTTGGTCCTTCGCGCCGGATAGATATTCTGACTTCCATCGCCTGCAAAAGGTTTGATGTAAGGCCTTTAATTTCTTNTTAGTTGGTTTTCCCCATGCAAAGAAATCTCATGGACAAACTGGACAAGAAGGCGAGAAAATCTACAATCGTATGGAAGGATAATTGGATGGCGCTCATTATAGGCCAGATCTTGAGACGCGCCGAGGCGACCACCCATCCTCATGATATCATCTCTATCGAGAAATGGATTAAGGGGCAAAACTTCACTCTTCGCATCGATGGATTCTCCGGATTTCAATTTACCATACTCTTCAAAGTAATATTGCTTTTGACAGATTTTTATCAAGCGTTGAGTCGTTGTTTTAATTTCCTCAGCGGAAATTAAAGAAGTCTCGACTTGAAACGAAGCTCTTGTTTTTGGATAGGTTCTTTGAAAAAATCATATAATATATGATAAAACTCTCAAAGCCCTAGGAAATCCTGAAAATCTATCTAAAATATTAGTTGCATTATTTATTTTTGTTGCTGCGTGCACATGCACCCTCTTTTCCTCGACTATTGTGTTGTAGTTTGCCTCTTGTACAGGCCATTTAGTTTGGTCTTCTTGTAACCAAGAAGGTCCCTGCCACCACAAGGGATTGTCAACCAATTCGTAAGCAGGCAGTCCTCGGCTGGCTAAATCTGCTGGATTTGATGCCGAATCCACATGCAGCCAGTTCTTATTACCAACTTTTTCTACTATTTTTGTTATCCTGTGGGCGACAAAGGTCGACCACGAACAAGGCGGCTTTCGTATCCACGCGAGAACGATTGTTGAGTCCGTCCACAGGTGTGCTTTTAAATGTCCCAAGTCAAGATTTTTCAGTACCGTCTCGATGATTTCTGCAAGCAGTACAGCGCCGCAAAGTTCCAATCGAGGTAATGAGATAGTCTTTACAGGGGCTACTTTTGTTTTTGCTAAAAGTAGAGTTACGAAAACTTTTGCATTTTGTGTAACGCGCAGATATAGAGCAGCCGCATACGCTTTTTCCGATGCGTCACAGAAGCCATCTACTTCGATGTCATCTGTTGGTGAGAAATGTACCCATCGAGGTATTCGTATGTTATCGATCTCATGGTAATGATGTGTAAAATTTTTCCAGCGATCCAGGGTAGTTGGAGTTACGGTTTCATCCCAGTCCGTACCTTCCAGCCAAATACCCTGCATTAGTATTTTGGCTACGATTATGATTGGCGCGAGCCACCCCAGGGGGTCGAAAAGTTTGGCGATAGCTGATAATATCGCCCTTTTCGTTGGATTATCGCTTTCTTCCAATGGTTTCGCCATAAAATAGAATAAATCCGTATGGGCATTCCATCTTATGCCGAGAGCCTTCACTGCGCTAGTTTCTTCGAATTCTAGAAAATCTTCGGTTAGCAGATTCATTTTTGGAATGTCTTTCAGTAAATCTTCGCAATTGGCAGTCCATTTTCTTAATGTAAAACCGGCTGACTCTAACACTTGGGTTATTTCATCTCTGGCATTTATCGCAGAGTCAATGCTGTGTCCTCCCGCTAGAACGTCGTCGACGTACATGCATCTTCGTAAAATATTGGATGCTATCGGAGAGGAGTTTTTCACATCATCAGCTAGTTGTAAAAGTGTCCTTATTGCCAAGTAAGGAGCACAGTTAACCCCGGAAGTGACCGACTTCAGCTCGTAAAGACTGATCGTTTCGTTCGTATTTGTACGAAAAACTATGCGCTGGAACTTAGTTTGATTGTCATGCACCATAATTTGCCGGTACATCTTCTCGATGTCGCTGTTGAAGACGTATTTATATAATCTCCAACGTAGGATTAATATGGGAAGATCCGCCTGGAGTACTGGTCCTGGGAGCAGTACATCATTGAGGCTTACACCATTTGCCGTCGGACTTGAGACATTAAAAACCACGCGAAGTTTTGTTGACGTGCTTTCTGCCTTGATGACCGCGTGATGAGGCAGGAAATAGTTGTCGGAGGACTCTGCTGGTATATTATTTATTTCCTTTGACATATGCCCTAACGATTCGTATTCCGATAATACCCTGTTATATTCCTTTTGTAGTCCAGGATCCTTGGCCAATCGCGTCTCGTTTCGGAAAAATTGTGAGCACGCTCTTTTTAGGGAGGGTCCTAGGCAGACATTCTCTGGAAAATCCTGCCTGAATGGTAGCGAAACTACATAGTTCCCGTCTTTGGTACGCTGAGTTGTACTCTTGTACAGCTCCTCACAGTACTTGTATTCCTCACTTAGGCTTTTGATCTTCGGCAGATCCTCTACTTCCCAGAACGCAGTAAGCTGCTTATCCAAGGTGACTTCGCTAAAGTATGAAGCAATATGGTTGGTTGCACTTGTTGCATCTGTACGGCAGGTTAATATCCAACCGAACACTGTTTCTTGGGCTAGAAGTGTATGAAGTACATTTTATTCAAGCCGCTCAAAATGATTTCTGGATAAATATCTCCTCCAAGCACAAGGTCCACTTGCTGATTAACAAAGAACCTTTTATCGGGCAAAACCAAATCTGGGAATGCTTGTTTAGTTACAGCGCTAATATGGGTAGTTGGAAGATTTCCAATTAGTTGTGCTAAGGCGAGCACAGTGGTAGTCGACCGGAATAATGGGTCAATCGGTGACCGTATTTCTATATTGCATGCTTCTTTTACCTGCGCCGATATGGAATTTGTGATGCCGGAAACTTGGGCATGCAACCTTTTGGATGGCAGGTTGATTCGGCGTTTGAGTCTTTCCGTTATAAAGGAACACTCAGACCCGGAATCAATAAGAGCTCTTGCAGAAAAATCGGTTCCATTATAATGTATATTTACGCGCGCTGTTCCTAGGAGCACACCAGTATTTGAATTTGCAAAACAAGAGTTGACATTTTTGTTCCCATTTGAATTTGGTTTTCCTGTCTTGCGTTTTGTTTGTGCTTGCTTCGATGAAGATGTTGGATTACCAGTTGAGCTCGCCGGCACTTGGTGCGCTGTAGGCATTTTCTGATCAGTATCATNTGGTCAGTCTCCAGGTGCAGGAGCGTGTGGTGTCGGGAGTGGCACTTGCTGCAATTAAACGAGCATGTGCATCTTGACACAGTATGTCCAGACTTAAGACAGTTCAAGCAAGAGTTATTGTTTTTCATGAACTCTATTCTTTCAGATGGTGTCAGCTTTAAGAAGCGGGAACAGCTGCGTAACTTGTGCTCATTGGACTGGCACATTATGCAAGTGAACTTGGTCACGCTTGCTTGGAAAACGCCAAGTCGTTTTGGGGAGGCTTCTGCTGTTTTGGTTGTGTGTTGCGGCTTTCACGCTCTCACAGCTTTGGAATTTTCTAAGCCTGATAACGTCTCCAACGTTTGAAACCTGTTGGATAGGAACTTGTCCATATCCTCCCACTTTGGTATATCATTTTTGTGGTCTATGGTTTGTTCCCATAGAGCCAGCGCACTTTCTGGAAGTTTGGTGGAGCAGAGGTAGACTATAATTGCATCCCAGTTTGAAACGTTAATTTGGTGACTGTTTAGGGACGATAAGCAATTATTTATATCCCGCTGCAACCTTTTTATTGAGCTACCACACTCATTTTCCACTGAATTTAAATTGAAAAGTATTTTCAGTTGTGTATTTACGAGGATACGCTTGTTTTCATATCTCTCGCATAAACTTTTCCAGGCTGTTTGGAAGCCTTCGTTTGTGAGTGGACACTTTCTCACGATGTCTTTGGCTTCCCCTTGAGTCTTTTGGTTGAGATGAAATAGTTTCTCAACCGGAGTGAGGCGCTTGTTAAGGATGTATATGGCCGTGAACATATCACGAAATGATGGCCATGACAGATAGTCACCCTTGAACACATCGGTATCACACGGAGGTAGGTGGATATTGTGTTCACGGACCGACTGATCCTGTACATCCTTTTCTGCGTTAACAAGCGTTTCGGACTGAGTCGCCATGGCAGACATGCATTTCACATAGCTGGCGAACGAGCTTTTATGTTTTCTCCTTATGGCCTTAATGTCTTCTTTCGATAACCCTTCTTTATTAATTAAAGTATCATACCCTTGTTTAGTTTTTTCCCACATAGCTTTCAGTTTGTCTTGCTGTATTGCAAGACCATGTTTATTTTGCTCTGCAGGTGACGTGCTGCTAAAATCGGATTCAAATTCGATTATAGCCTCTGCCAAACGAATGAACGATTCCATGTTTAAAACTGATACTTGAGGTCATGGGCGAGTACTTCGCCGTCGCCTCTTGAGCTAATCACATTCGGTACTTATAAAACAGAAAAGCGGATTTGCTCAAAAAAATTTAAGAAAATTAACATTCAGAAATTCCACTATTGTTAGGTTAGTAACGACGCTGGAAGTTGTATGTTAAAGGAAATTACAAAAATATTTCATTCGAATTAATATTGCAAGTCACGGATCAGCAAAACACTAATAACAAAAGCACTTAAAGTGCGCTTTAATGAGGCCCTCTTTTTCTATTAGATCGTAGTTCTTTACACATACATATAACTAATACACATACATATATAATATAAGCTGTAAATACCCTGCAGTACGGGGGAGTGACTACAGGACTGCTGAATCGGTAGCTACCTGATAAACACCGTCAATTACCGACCGACTACTTGCAGTGTATTTCATCGATTACTTTTACAAGGCAATGTCCTAGGCGGTAGTCACCATCGGCTCTCTCTGTACTACCGGGAGTTACTAAAGTAGTCACTGGCGTGATTTATGGGCGCCCTCTGTCGTAGTTTTTCGCTATTCTGCTTACGACTGGTTCGACTCTGCACTACCATGTGCACTACCACGGGTTAATAGAGTAGCTACTTACCTAGGAGTCGGTGCAGGTGCGGTTCAAAAGTAGCGATTGACTCCAGCAGTACTGGAGGGTAGGTATGTTTGTGTTTTATTATCATACAGCTTATGCTTATGTTTATTTGAAATTCAATTTATTAGAGAGTGTGTATTATAGAAATGAATGTAATCTGTGTGCTCCGAATTATTTCACAACAAATACAATTCCGCAACAGTAAAAAAAAAAAACTGTGCACACCTATACTGTTCACAAAATCACTTGCGGGAAACACAATTTGCAAGTGTGTATGTTTTATATATGATAACGCAATTTCTCACAGAATATATGGTTTTTATTTTATATAAAAGTTTTTTTTTGTTTCTTTTTTTCCTCAACCAACTAACTGAGTGATTCCGTCTGTCCGCGTGTGACAAAAAACGGCTACAGTTCAGTTGCAAGGTGCCACATCTTACGTACACACACACACACGACAGTGATAAGCGCCACATTTTGCAACATATTTAATCTTCAAGCACTCTGTTTTTGTTTATGATCACGTTTTTATAACTCCTTAGAAAAATTGTTCACACAACAACAGCTGGTATAGGTTGAATATACATATGTATACGACATAAAAAAAGCGTCGAGTTAACTAAGAATCAAGTGAAATATATTTCATTACTGAACGTCTCTTGATCATCACGTTTTTTAACTCATTTTTCGCGTCAGTCGACGTTTTAATCACTTGTGTAGCAATAGTTGCAATAAATAAGCGAATCACATTATTATCAACATATGTATTATCACTGATCGTCGGAGGACACATAACCTCTTTGTTTGAAACGGACACGGTAATTTTGCTTTTAGCAATTGCACTTTGTTTTTCACAAAATCACTTCTGCGTGTGGATCCATTGCAGTATTAATTTGCGAATATTGTTATTGTGTTGTGGACGTATCTGCAAATTACACGAACATATTTAATAGCAGTTGGGTGGCGAGTCAAGTTTTATATACACACGCATACATATATACAGCTTTCATATACATACATTACCGAAATCCCTGATAATTTAAGGAGAAAATATATTGAGTGAAATCAAGTGTTACAATAACAGGTTAAATATAAATTGAACGCCTTTTTTTTTCAATTGCGGAAATTGTATCTGGTTTTTGGCGTTTCGACCACAAGAGTTGGTATCTTTTTCAGCGGCAGAAATTTTCGTTTTATTGAATACCGGGCGAACAAATTCGATAAGCTAAGCATTTATATTTGTTGAAGAGTAAGGTTGCTACAATATATAAAAGCACATCATCGAATTCATCTCTTATTGATTTTGACCTCAAGTATCATTTTTAAATATGGAATCGTTCATTCGTTTGGCAGAGGCTATAATCGAATTTAAATCCGATTTTAGCAGCACGCCACCAGCAGAGCAAAGNTTGAATCCGATTTTAGCAGCACGCCACCTGCAGAGCAAAATAAACATGGTCTTGCAATACAGCAAGACGAACTGAAAGATATGTGGGAAAAAACTAAACAAGGGTATGATACTATAATAAACAGAGAAGGGTTGTCGAAAGAAGACATTAAGGCCATAAGGAGAAAACATAAAAGCTCGTTCGCTAGCTATGTTAAATGCATGTCTGCCATGGCGAGTCAGTCCGAAACGCTTGTTAACGCAGAAAAGGATGTACAGGATCAGTCGGTCCGTGAACACAATATCCACCTACCTCCGTGTGATACCGATAAGTTCAAAGGTGACTATCTGTCATGGCCATCATTTCGTGATATGTTCACGGCCATATACATCCTTAACAAGCGCCTCACTCTGGTTGAGAAACTATTTCACCTCAACCAAAAGACTCAAGGGGAAGCCAAAGACATCGTGAGAAAGTGTCCACTTACCAACGAAGGCTTCCAAACAGCCTGGAAAAGTTTATGCGAGAGATATGAAAACAAGCGTATCCTCGTAAATACACAACTGAAAATACTTTTCAATTTAAATTCAGTGGAAAATGAGTGTGGTAGCTCAATAAAAAAGTTGCAGCGGGATATAGATAATTGCTTATCGGCCCTAAACAGTCACCAAATTAACGTTTCAAACTGGGACCCAATTATAGTCTATCTCTGCTCCACCAAACTTCCAGAAAGTACGCTGGCTCTACCATAGACCACAAAAATGATATACCAAAGTGGGAGGATATGGACAAGTTCCTATCCAACAGGTTTCAAACGTTGGAGACGTTATCAGGCTTAAAAAATTCCAAAGCTGTGACAGCGTCAAAGCCGCAACACACAACCAAACCAGCAGAAGCCTCCCCAAAACGACTTGGCGTTTTCCAAGCAAGCGTGACCAAGTTCACTTGCATAATGTGCCAGTCCAATGAGCACAAGTTACGCAGCTGTTTCCGATTCTTAAATCTGACACCATCTGAAAGAATAGAGTTCATGAAAAGCAATAACTTTTGCTTGAACTGTCTTAAGTCTGGACATACTGTGTCAAGATGCACATGCTCGTTTAATTGCAGCAAGTGCCACTCCCGACACCACACACTCCTGCACCTTGCGACTGACCAGAAAATGCCTACAGCGCACCAAGTGCCGGCGAGCTCAACTGGTAATCCAGCATCTTCATCGAAGCAAGCACAAACAAAACGCAAGTCAGGAAAACCAAATTCAAATGGGAACAAAAATGTCAACTCTTGTTTTGCAAATTCAAATACTGGTGTGCTCCTAGGAACAGCGCGCGTAAATATACATTTAATGGAACCGATTTTTCTGCAAGAGCTCTTATTGATTCCGGGTCTGAGTGTTCCTTTATAACGGAAAGACTCCAACGCCGAATCAACCTGCCATCCAAAAGATTGCATGCCCAAGTTTCCGGCATCACAAATTCCATATCGGCGCAGGTCAAAGAAGCATGCAACATAGAAATACGGTCACCGATTGACCCATTATTGCGGTCGACTACCACTGTGCTCGTCTTAGCACAACTAATTGGAAATCTTCCAACTACCCATATTAGCGCTGTAACTAAACAAGCATTCCCAGATTTGGTTTTGGCCGATAAAAGGTTCTTTGTTAATGAGCAAGTGGACCTTGTGCTTGGAGGAGATATTTATCCAGAAATCATTTTGAGCGGCTTGAAGAAAATGTACTTCATACACTTCTAGCCCAAGAAACAGTGTTCGGTTGGATATTAACCTGCCGTACAGATGCAACAAGTGCAACCAACCATATTGCTTCATACTTTAGCGAAGTCACCTTGGATAAGCAGCTTACTGCGTTCTGGGAAGTAGAGGATCTGCCGAAGAGCAAAAGCCTAAGTGAGGAATACAAGTACTGTGAGGAGCTGTACAAGAGTACAACTCAACGTACCAAAGACGGGAACTATGTAGTTTCGCTACCATTCAGGCAGGATTTTCCAGAGAATGTCTGCCTAGGACCCTCCCTAAAAAGAGCGTGCTCACAATTTTTCCGAAACGAGACGCGATTGGCCAAGGATCCTGGACTACAAAAGGAATATAACAGGGTATTATCGGAATACGAATCGTTAGGGCATATGTCAAAGGAAATAAATAATATACCAGCAGAGTCCTCCGACAACTATTTCCTGCCTCATCACGCGGTCATCAAGGCAGAAAGCACGTCAACAAAACTTCGCGTGGTTTTTAATGCCTCAAGTCCGACGGCAAATGGTGTAAGCCTCAATGATGTACTGCTCCCAGGACCAGTACTCCAGGCGGATCTTCCCATATTAATCCTACGTTGGAGATTATATAAATACGTCTTCAACAGCGACATCGAGAAGATGTACCGGCAAATTATGGTGCATGACAATCACACTAAGTTCCAGCGCATAGTTTTTCGTACCAATACGAACGAACCGATCAGTCTTTACGAGCTGAAGACGGTCACTTTCGGGGTTAACTGTGCTCCTTACTTGGCAATAAGGACACTTTTACAACTAGCTGATGATGTGGAAAACTCCTCTCCGATAGCATCCAATATTTTACGAAGATGCATGTACGTCGACGACGTTCTAGCGGGAGGACACAGCATTGACTCTGCGATAAATGCCAGAGATGAAATAACCCAAGTGTTAGAGTCAGCCGGTTTTCCATTAAGAAAATGGACTGCCAATTGCGAAGATTTACTGAAAGACATTCCAAAAATGAATCTGCTAACCGAAGATTTTCTAGAATTCGAAGAAACTAGTGCAGTGAAGGCTCTCGGCATAAGATGGATTGCCCATACGGATTTATTCTATTTTATGGCGAAACCATTGGAAGAAAGCGATAATCCGACGAAAAGGGCGATATTATCAGCTATCGCCAAACTTTTCGACCCCCTGGGGTGGCTCGCGCCCATCATAATCGTAGCCAAAATACTAATGCAGGGTATTTGGCTGGAAGGCACGGACTGGGATGAAACCGTAACTCCAACTACCCTGGATCGCTGGAAAAATTTTACACAACATTACCATGAGATCGATAACATACGAATACCTCGATGGGTACATTTCTCACCAACAGATGACGTCGAAGTACATGGCTTCTGTGACGCATCGGAAAAAGCGTATGCGGCTGCTCTATATCTGCGCGTTACACAAAATGCAAAAGTTTTCGTAACTCTACTTTTAGCAAAAACAAAAGTAGCCCCTGTAAAGACTATCTCATTACCTCGATTGGAACTTTGCGGCGCCGTACTGCTTGCAGAAATCATCGAGACGGTACTCAAAAATCTTGACTTGGGACATTTAAAAGCACACCTGTGTGTTTAGGTCCGCGACCTAAATATATTGCACCACCCTAATCCGCGTTTTGTCACTTGATGTAAGAGCACACAAACACATACATAAGTTACGGCTATCTTTCCAGCCGCTAACAATAAGCCCCACTGTACGGTAACTTATTGGAGGGGACACTTAACGAAAGTTACTGTGCGGTGGGCTACATCCCTTTTCGTTTGTTAGCACTTGGTCACTTCTTAGAAGACCGTCTGAAAGGAGATACCGCAGCTGTCACATCTCGTTTGGTAAGCCAATTTTTGTGTATGAAAATATTTAAACGCACAGATAACTACAAATAAAACGACCTTTGATTCACTGTACTGAAACCACTTTGTCTTTTATTTATTCTTATTTTTCGTTACATTAACTTTACGCTGGTGCGCTCCATCTTCGTGCGACGCCACCTGCGTAAATATTGGTCCTTCGAGCCGGATTTTGAATCCTGTATATCAATAACAATAGGATCTATGATTGAAGGTCGACTATTTGTTGGAAGAATCAAGCTTTCCGAGTTGGAATTTGATGATTGATCAATTATAAAAGTTTCTGTATGATCCAGCGGAGTTACACGTTGTTTCACAGGCTTAATTACCTTATGGCGAAATGTTGAATTATCACATATTATACCAATATTGCTGTCCTGGGCATCACCGAAACTACTTAGAACATTCTCAGAACTTGTCGGCGGTTTTCTGACATGAATGTTTAACCCAGATTGAACGAATTCATTTTGCCCTTCAAGTCTTTTATTGCTATTATGTACATTCGCATTGGCACTTCTTGCAGATATTGAAGACAAAGGGACAGATGTCACACTCGTTAGACGTGGTGTGTTTTCAGAAGTACAGGTAGCAGCAATCACAGCAACAGCTTGACAACTATTAGAATTTGAATGCTGCTGTATTGTATCAAAATGCAATGATGATGCTGCCGGGGATATTGATTGCGACCGCATACGTTGTTGTTGGTATATGCTAGGTTGCAGAGCTGCAGACGAAGGGATAGCCGTTGTTTCAGTTACATGCTGTTGCTGTTGTTGAATTCCAACAATTTCACGCCATTTCTTTACTAAAGACTTAGCTCGGCGCGCTAAGTGCTCATCCTCTTGTACGACGCCTTAAGACGTTTATAAATTTTGCCAATCTGGTGGCCTCCAATTGCTCTTTTGTAATCGTTGTGCCCTCCAAAGTGGAAATAACTGACATGACTGTATCCATATTAACCACATCATAATTTCGATCGAGCGCTTGACATAAACGAAAAGTTAAATAATGTATATACTTAGTGTTCATTTATAATGAACAAAACGAAAAATAGTATACGTTGAACGATAACTGCAACTAAATAACAAAACTATTACTGGTGCTCATGGACACTGAAGAATTTCGGCTTTTTTCTCAGGTGGATAGAATATAATTAATCCCAATTGCATTATGTACTGCAAAACAAAGTTCAACACGGGAAGTAAAACAAATTACGTTTTTGAAAATTTTCCAAGCGTTTTTCCAACTTAATGTTAGTAAAAATGTCGTTCGCCAGCTTGTTGCATTGTTCGCCTTTACTGTTTAATGTTACACTCCACCCGCATATCTACAACGTTCTCTGCGCATCGTCATTGACACGGATACTAACTGTTGAAATCTTTATTTCGAAGTACTAACTCTTAAACAATACTAACATTTATAAGGAAGAGGTATTTGTTTTCAAATCGTACCTTTTTACTAGATGATAAATCTTTAGTTTTTACAGCAAATTTAGAAAAAACCCAATGTGACTCGTCGCACGCATATCACTACCGTGCAAAACAACTTATCGCGTAAGCGTGCCAAAAGTCACGGTTTTTAATTCGTACAAACTGATTGGATCTTTTGGGCAACTACGAAAAACTATTCGCTGATATTTTGTTTGATTTTGATTTACCCAAATTTGTCGATACATCTTTTCTATATCGCTGTTGAATACGTATTTGTACAGTCTCCAACGTAGTATAAGAATGGGTAAATCGGCCTGAAGTACTGGGCCTGGAAGAAGGACATCATTCAAACTCATGCCATTAGCGGTTGGGCATGATGCGTTGAATACAACCCTGACCTTTGTAGTGGTGATTTCTTCCTTTAAAACGGCGTGGTGAGGTAAAAAATAGCAGTCCGTTGAATCTGGTGAAATGTTTTTGTTAATTTTTGACATATGTGCTAGTGTCTCGTATTCAGATACAACCCGGTTGTACTCTGTTTGAAGGACAGGCTTTTTCGCTAGTCGCGTCTCGTTCCGGTAGAACTGAGAGCACGCACTTTTCAGCCTAAGGTCCTAAGCACACATTTTTCGGAAAATCGCGTTTAAAAGGTAGAGACACAATGTATTTACCATCTGTATTTCGTGTCGTAGTTGCTTTGAAGAGCTCTTCGCAGTATTTATCATCTTCGTTGATGCCTTTTTTCCTTGGGACATCCTCCAGCTCCCAAAATGCAGCTATCTGCTTGTCCAACGTGACTTCGTTAAAATAAGATACGATATTGTTGGTTGGACTGACTGAATCCGCGCGACCAGTCAGTATCCAACCGAGCACGGTCTCTTGCGCGAGAAGGGTATTTAATACGTTCTTCCTCATTCCGCTTAAAATTATTTGCGGGTAAATATCTCCTCCTAAGACAAGGTCAACTGGCTCATTGACGAAGAATCTTTTGTCCGCCAAGACCAAGTCTGGGAACGATTGCCGCGTCATTGCGCTTATCTGACAAGTCGGAAGATCCCCGGTTAATTGCGGTAAAACCAGCAAGATTGCTTCTATATTAATTAACGGGTCTGTGGGTGACCGAAGTTGAATAGCACACGCTTCTTTTGCCTGCGCAGATACAGAGTTATTGATGCCCGAAACTTGGGCATGCAAGCGTTTTGATGGCAGGTTGATTCTCCGTTTGAGTCTCTCAGTAATGAACGAGCACTCAGAACCAGAATCTATAAGCGCTCTAGCCGAAAAATGTATACCATTATAGTGTATGTTTACGCGTGCTGTTCCTAACAAAACTCCTTTACTTGTATTTGCGTAACAAGAATTTACATTTGCAGCCGATTTGATGTTTCCTTTTTCAGATTCGCGTCTTGATTGAGCCTGGTTTGTAGTAGATTCTACGTTACCCGATGGATCAGTTGTTGCTTTTGGCTGAATTGGCATATGGAGCAACTTGTGATGTCTCGAATGACAAGTGCTGCCCAGCAGATAGACAATTCAAGCAACTGCGAATGCTCTTCACGTAATCTACTCGCTCCGTCGGCTTTAGACGCAAAAATCTGTCGCACTTTGATAGCTTGTGTGCATTGCTGTTGCACATTTTACATGTTGCCTTTGTTACACTAGCTTGAAAGGCGCCAAGCTTTTTTGCAGGCGTCTCTGCACTTATTNCCAGGACAGCAATATTGGTATAACATGTGATAATTCAACATTTCGCCATAAGGTAATTAAGCCTGTGAAACAACGTGTAACTCCACTGGATCATACAGAAACTTTTATAATTGATCAATCATCAAATTCCAACTCAGAAAGCTTGATTCTTCCAACAAATAGTCGACCTTCAAACATAGCTCCTATTGTTATTGATATACAGGATTCAAACTCCGGCTCAAACTTAGTTACTTCGATACTCATGAACCCCGCAGTTGGCTGCAAAATAGCGTCGTCTAAACCAAACAAAGCACAATCCGCTAACTTAGATAGCAAACCCAACATAACTACTTCGGCATTCCCATCTTTGAAATCAAAAAAAACTCAAAAAGGAGAAAAAACGCAGAGATAAGGTTGACGTCAATGCTCAAGGTGGTATAGATAACATCGATGGTGTCAAAATGTCTGCTGTATTAGATGAAAATTCATCCAACCCACAACGTCGTCAGCAATCTGGGGACAATGCAGAACAATTTACGTCCTTTGTTAAGGAAGACAAATCTCGCTTAGCATATCCAGAAATCCTTTCACTTCTGGATAACAGCTCAGTTAGCTCTATGTTTCCTCCAGAAGGCTCTACAAATCCTGTTGATGACACAAATAAAGTAAAGTCATGGACTAGTAACAGTAGCCATGCGCCTTTAAACTTATCAACATCTGACTTAACTTTCACTGGAAAATTCAAGCAAGGCAATACATTGCCTTCGACAACTTCTGGCAACGAATTAATTGTGTTCAATGCGCACCGTCGCACCGTTTCTCCAAAACAGGTTCCTACAAATAGCTTTTCATTACAAACTGGACACTCGGCAACAAAAATTATGCCATGTCGAGAAGTTGGCTCAAATTCTAATGACAGCAATTCGAATAGTCAAGCTTCTCAAATGGATCTCATCGATATAGTTAGTAATGATAAAATTGTGCATGCTTTTCAGGCCCAAAGAAAACAAGATAGTTCGAATCCCCAACAAAAAACAGTTGGGGCTGCAAACATATCAACGTCGCAAGCAGTACCAGCACCGGCATTTTTCCCACAAAAAAATTCCACCCTCGAATACTATGGAAGCTACGATTGTTGCGGCTTCAAATACTCTTGTTTCGTCGGACAAAAAACTACCTAGAAAGCGAGGTCGTAAAAAAGGATCTAAGGGTGTTGATTCTGTTATTGCAAAAGAGACAAGTCTCACTTCCCAAATGCTCATGACATCTTTGGGTAGTGGAAATAAAAAGGTCAAAACCACAAAAGAGCTGTATGCTGAAATGCAAAACCGAAAATTAGGTATAGCCGTCACTTCGTCTTCGCCGACTTCAAGCGGCTGGCCAGTACCACAGCAACAAACCTCTCGTCCCACATCATCTTGTTCAGAACCTTCCTTGCAATCGCCGCACACATTCGATGCTTGTTCAACTAATGCTACTATGTCTATCGGGACGACACGATTTACACCTGATAATTTCCTAAATAATACACATGCTGACGAAGGTGAAACTACTAGCGATACAGTCACTTCAGAACCATCACGCGATAGATCCGCATTACCTCAGCACTTAAAGCGTTCTTTATCCATTGATAGCAACAGTAATTCACAATTCCTTTCTTCAGTAAAAATTACTGCTATTCCGCGGTCTACGACCGAAATGCAAAGTAGTGATACCGCGAATCAAATTGCCGCCGTTGAGAGACAGTTGCTTGAAATCTTTAAAAAATTGCCACCTGTACCGAATATAACTGCTATTGAGTTGAAATTTACGGAAGAATCAATACCGTGTACTTGCAAAATTACTGAAATTTCTCCAGAAAACCGTGCTCAAAAGGAATCTATTAAAGCGCAGGAAGCTGAAATAGAGACTATAAAAGTAGTACCTGAGCAAAACAATAGGCAAAGCGCTTCTCAAGAGCGAACCTTTGATAAAACGGTTGTAAGGAGTGAGGCAACTGGTGGAAGCACTATAATTCCTGGGGTATCTGAACTAAAGCACATGCCACAGGAGACGTCTCCATCACCCTCAACACGTCCAAAGCCTAAAAAATCCATATTCGACCTAGATTTCGATGATGATGATGATCCACTAAACACTTTAAAAGCTGAAGCCGCTGCTGCCATTTTAGAAAAAGAGAATGTAGACGAAACTCTTAAAATTGAAGAGCAAGCAGAACCACAAGTGAGTACCACAGTCGTAAATCAGTTTGAGTCACAGTTACTCGACTATAAAATGTCCATTGAACAAGCAATGATTGAGGAGGCACCAATGCGTATATTTCCCACGTATGAAGTAGAAGAGGATCCCCTTTGTATGGCCAAACAACGTTTCGACATACAAACGCAAAAAATTACAAAATTTCACATTGATGCCTTACATAATTGCTTCATACCGAACGTAAACGGTAACTGGGATAATGCAAATAGCACCATAGGCTCTAAAGTGACACTGGATGAAGTCATAGCAGCCGTTGATGCCGAGACCGGATATGTTATATCCGATGGCTGCAATGTTGTTCCAAAGTACGGTTCCCTTGTGAAAGAACGAATCCGTAAAGATTTAAGTCATATAAGTTTTTCCAAAAATTATAAGTCGAAAAAGGTAACTGCTACCATGGAGCAAATGTACGTCGTACCATTTCTGGGTGTTGCTCGTTCAATATTGGTCTTCGAGCCTAAAAAGTAACCACATTATACAGTCTACACAGCATCTCATCTGAGTTTTTCAACTGCCTCAACATTTTTCCACATTGGTCACGACAGCATCACGTTCGCCTACATCTACAACCTGAGTTTTTCGCACCACAACCAACGTGCCACAAGAGATACTCAAGCAGCGATTGTTTGGTTCATCGCTTAACCGGCTGTTGAAATCGCTTAACCGGCTTCATCACATTGACCACAAGTAGCACGTTTGCATCACATCATCACATTTGCATCACAGCACCACTAGTTTCAGCGACACATTCTTTAACAAACCAGCATATCGCACTACACGGCATATAACAACACATTAAGGTACGTGGTTGAATTTCATTGCCCTTGTGTGTGTACGAATCTTAAAAAAAAAAAAAAGCGCGCGTGATTATTTTGTAAAAATAAAAAGGGGAGAAAACTCAGTGCTTAATATTTTTCCGAAAACAAAAAAATAGAACATTTTCACGTTTTTTGATATTCACGTTAATGAATTGCGCGAACGTCCATTTTGATTCTTAATACGGTGTTGTTTGTGTAAAAAATACCAGTCGCATTTACCGAAGCACAAGATTGATAAAATTTATTCTTTTCTTGCAAAGCACAGAATTTAGTTTTTTCTCATTTTACTGGCTTTCACTTTATTTGCATTTTATTAATCGCGTAACTTCAAGTATATTTTGCGAAACTCCTTTGGTTTCTTTTCACAGTGCACTTGTCGATTATTAGTGGCGCGCTTGTACATATTGCTGATCACTTCACTGGATTGTTTCCCCCATTTATTTGTTTGTTGCATAAAATCACAGCCGCGCTTGAATAAACACAATTTCTTCATCAGAAATTTTAAATAAACTGCATATTGTGAATATCAATTATTTACACACGTATATCACATATTTGATAAGTTGGGTGGCGAGTGACTTGCACATTTTTGCATATACGCACATACACATACGTAATTACGTATTCGACAGTCTTACTTGGCTTGAGAATAAATAAATCGGTATTTAAATATACAAGATATCCTTTTTTGTTCTTATAAGAATCAGGCTTATTTCGTGCTAAGCGTTTTTAGTGGCAATGTTTCCCTACAAATCGGCGATTTCTATTACTACAGACAAATTTCTTTTCTTGCGTCCAGTTGAGTGGTCTTTGGTTGTCAAAAATGGATACCTTTATTCGTCAGGCAGATTCAGTAGCAGAATTTGAATCTGACTACAACTCGATGCAGCCATCAGAGCACACAAAGCACTCCTTAGCTTTCCAAAAGGACGAATTGAAGGCTCTGTGGGAAAAGGTAAAGGGGTCTTATGATGAACTCTGCGCATCAAAAGAGCTCGAAACCAAAGACCTGACATCGATTAAAAAGAAGTATAAAAGCACCTACTTCAGTTTTTTGCGGTGCCAAGCAGCTATGGCTGATCTTTCAGAGCAACTCGCAAAGACTGAAAAGGAAAGCGAATACAAGTCAGGTCGCGAGCTTAACATTCATCTCCCTCCTTGTGACACAGACGTTTTTAAAGGAGATTATCTTTCGTGGCCATCGTTTAGGGACATGTTTACGGCTATATATATTCTCAATAAGCGCCTTACCCCAGTTGAGAAGCTGTATCACCTCCGGCAAAAGACT